TTGGATGGGGCTGTTATAACCCAAGGGCAAGTTCACCAATTGAGCACAATATGACCTGGTGATGCTAAATCAGTGTAAAGCAACTGAGCTAGAAAAAGATTAATTTTGCTTTATGAGCTTTAACAACTAAATTAATTTCACCACTTTTTAGTTCATAAAACATGGAAAAAGTTTCAAGAACACTTTGGTTTATCAAGACAATACTTAAAGCACTCCTTTCTCCTTAAGAAAATAGAGGTATATTATGTAGTTAAGCAACTCAACCCAAGATCCAGGCAGCTTTACAATACAATCTGCGCTTTAAACCAAAAAAACCAAAAAAACCACCCCACACCGAAATATGCTCCCAACAGACTACTGGTACACGGCCTCTGCAGCGAGGCCACGAGATGCTGGGAAAGCAGCTGAAGTCTGGGCCAGAGCATTGTAAGACACACACAGCTTCGGAGTGCACCTGTGGTGTCACCTGGGTCTCTCTGAACATTTTTAATGTTTATTTTGCAAGTGTCTGCAGATCTGAGAGTGCACTCAGATCATGCTCGATACTTGCTTTTGTACAAAGAGACAACACAAGGATTTATACTAACCAAAAGTTTTAACAGCCTTGGAAGAGGAATAGGGATGGACAGACTTTGAGAGGGAGAACGTGTTTAACGTATCACATGAGCTAAAAATGCAAGTAGCGTAACATCACTGGCTGACTTTTATCTCTTTGAAACTTCGGGGTATATGGAACATTCTCCATCTTCAGTTTCGTATGTGATAAAGTGTTTAAACTTCCTTTCACAAAAGCAGAGCCTGCTGCCTTCTGCAAGAAAGGCGCTTACTCCTAGAGCAGAAAGGGAGGTAAAAGAAACGGGAAAAGTTGTGGTTTGGCCTCAGGTTTCAGGCTCTGGAGCTGTTCGTGTCCGTACCAGGGGAGGATGGCCTGCCCTGCTGTGCAGCAGTGCCTGTCCAGCAGCATCACGCAGCACCGGCAGAGCCATCTCGTGGCGACACGTGTGCTTGAAAAAAACCCCAAAGCCGCTGCTCACAGCAAATTGAAAGAAATTCATCACTGCTATCATGCTCCCTATTAAAAAAAGCTGTATACAAAGGTAAGACTCATCGCCAACTTTGTGAAGAGACCGAGTGCAAAAATGCAAAACACATGCATTTACTGTGTACAAGGCCACGAGTAGTTACGCCGCAGACCTACACAATGCCTCAACAGCAACACGATCGCACGTTTCAGAAACAATACTGGTCCTCACTCGAACCACGGGAGCACTGCTGCCTTGCTGCAAGCTATCAAAGCACCGTATTTTCCTTTCAGTTGGAAGCTGCACCCACGCAAACACCTCTTCCTTCACACTTTAGGATGCGTATCCCTTACTTCACATGAGCACCCTAACGAAAACTGCTGCTACAGCCCCCGTGACTTTAACTGGAAGCTCCACAGTATCCTCTAAACTCCTTGGAACTGATAAGGAACGCTAGCTGCAAACAGCATAGCACACACCCAAAGCGATCCTTCAGCGTTATGTAAAGCCCACAATGTCGTAAGAGGATTACCCCAGAATTTGCCAAATTATGATGTCCAGCCAGGTGCTAGAAAGAGTAAAACCCTTCTTAAGCTATGCTTTTCCAATGATATTTTAGCAGTTAACTGTTATTAGAGCTTTTTTTCTAGGACAAATTTGTAGGTGACCATACAACAGCTCATCACATGTCCTTCTTCTCCATCTCTCTGCACTCACATGGTCCACCCAGGTCCATGATGGGGGCCCATCTGATCATTAAACTTGTCTAACATGGCTCCTGGGTTTAGGAAAGAAGAGAAAGAAAAAACCTTGAGCAGAGATAGAACAGCTAAAGCCTGATGGGACATATGATTAAACCTCTTATGACTGGGGAAAGGCAATCTCAGTAGCAAAGACCATGCTGTCTGAACACATTCGTGCCTTTTAACATAAATAAATTAACAAGCGGGGGCTGAAAAGCCTGATCCATGAAAGCTACTCTTCTCCCTCAGGAAGACAAAGCTGTTTGCAGTCATATTTGGAGGCAGGGATGTAGAACTCTTGCTGCCTTTCACGTAGCAGCCCCCCCCCCCTCGTATTTTACTCAAAGCACTGCACTAGAATAACACCCAACACCCCTATTAGGACCTCGTAAGATCTCACTCGGGCTCATTTACTCTATAGCCTCAATAAAAGCAAGTACATTAAGCTTCACCATATTTTTTTAGAACAGTTCTAAACATTGAATAAATCTCATGGAAGAAATGTATCCTTATCACTACAGGGAAAAACAGATTAGACAAATTAAGACCTAACCGGATCAAATCCTAAGACTAGCCTGTAGTAAATCGACACTGTTAAACTGCAGAGCTTGATAGTCCTTCCCCTCCTGGTACAAGGTGCGAAAGCCAAAAAATATTATCTTATGCACTCAAGGCAAGCAAGCTCTCCAATTTCTTCAGTTAGGGTCTTGTTTTCATTGTGCCAAAGATTTAGATAATGCTCATAACTTTGCAGCTATCCCAAAAAAGGAAAAAACAAATCTCCAAACCAAGAACAAGAAATCACATCCCCCCGCTTGCCATGTAGGAGGGAAACAAGTTCTGCTCAAGCAGACAAACAGCTGGTTGTACGGCCAGGGAAGGCACTAGGGAGGGGAAGGGGGGTTAGAAAAGCCAAGAGATGCCAATGAGGAGAAGAGCCTGGCCCGGAGGTAACCCGTGTTAGCACTCCAGTGTCTGCCTCAGTTCTGCACACAGGAACTGGCAGTTTTCTCACAGGGCAGTTCAGTGAGTTTTAATTACTGAGCAAACCCAAAAGGCCTCATTATAGCTGCTTCAAGAACCTGAAGTTATCTGAAGTAGCAACTTCTGATGGTAATGTTCACGGGATACGTATCTGGGAGGACACAAATTAAGGAACTTGTATCATTAGAACAGTATTATATAGTGATTTTAACACTGAGAAATTTTGGTGCCAAGATGTTTTAGAATCTGTAACTTCTAGAACAAAGCATTATTTTAAAACATCCTTAAACCATCTGCAAAGTGTTAACAAGTCTTCACGTTTCTCTGTTACTCCCATTTCCGCAATGCTAAAATATAAAATACCTACCATTAGAGGTACTGTAACTGAATACCATAATACACATCCGAACTGACCAAAGCTCAAAGTTTTATAATCTCTGTGCCCACGCCCAGCCTTCCTACTCGTTTGTTACCATTTAATGAACTATGTTAGTATGGAAAATTCAACATTACATTTTCTGTATTACAAGGCAGCTGATACACTTCTAAACAATGCAAATAAGTTCCTTAAAGAGACCAGAAATCCCCACTGCATAATTCTCCATTCTGTATTCCTGGAGGTCCTGCTTATTTTGAGGTGTGATCATTATAGTTCTTCTGCATATCCCACCTTCATCGCTGATGAGCATCGGGGTTAGGCAAAAATAGAATAACTTTCTCCTGAAAGAAATCACCAGGTTACCTGTCTAGAAGCAAATGTTTTCTTCTTTACCCAGCATAGATCAAGGCAAAAAAGAAAAATCGAGGCACTACCTGTCACAGGTGACTAGCCCCACTTGGCTGGAGGGGAACACCACACAGGCGAAGATACAAAGAATTTAAATTGCTTGCCGAGAAAGAAACCTAATGGATGACCCTAAACCTCACTGTTTTCCTTTGTACTCATCCAGGGAAGCAAGTAGCTGTTTAAACCTCTCCTTCTTCTAAGTAGTTTCCGATAAAGCTATTAACACTAACAAACATCAGCTGGGCTAGTAAGTGTTCATAACCAGCAGAGACACCACCACATTTGACTATATATGCACATAACCAGCATATACATGCAGCAGGAAGTAAAAATAAGCAGACCCTTGGATCAGTGGAGAAACAAAGCTTTAGCTATTCAACATCCGAGTCTGAAGCTCACACACAGTGGACCTTACGGAGATGCTGATCTGCAGACCTCACCAGCAACGGCAAGTGATCCACCTTTACACCTTGGATTGCCATTACCCAGAGTGGCGGTACCTTGCACAGTTCTTTTGATGTGGAAAGCACTGTGTGTACGTGTAGCCACCACACACTTCGGACAGTGCTTTCTCTGAGAAGCTCAAGGCAGCCTACAAAATGTTAACATAAATGATAGCATCTACTGTGGACTAGTAATGATAGCTTATTTTACAGGCTAAAGAACTGAACAGAAGGTAGAGTAGAAAAGCAAGAAACAGGATTTCATCTCAATCTTTGCTTTGAAAAGAAATTGTTCAGACTAAAACCAGCAACACAGAAAAGTCCTGTTTTAGCCAGCCTAGCAACATTACAATAAACAAAAGTGTTCTCTGATGCTTAAGTAATGCAGCTTTTTGGTCTTGTGCTTTAGACACTTACGTTCCACCTGAATACCGTCTGCATGGGGTTTGCTTTTTGGTTCCTGGCTCCCAGCTTTTGCATCATCATCATCATCATCCAGCAGAGGAACATAGTCTGTTTTATCTACTGTTTCTCCAACCACATCATCAAATTTCTCTGCTTCCAGAGTGGCAATGAAGTCCCTTTTCACTTCTTCCTCAATCTCGGGAGGTGGCTCTGTCAGAGCATCCGCAAGACTGAGGTTGTGATCCAAGTCGGCCATGCTTTAGCACCTTTGCAACCTGGAAAGTGGTGTGGGGAAGAAGAAAAAGAAGCAATCGTTTTAATAAGAGACCTTTTGAGTTTACTCAGTTTGATGTTGACAACTGTGTGCCTCCTGTGCCATAACACAGTAAGAAACATTTGCTTTAGTGCTCAGTAATTCCCAGATGTTTACAAAACCCCACACCAGTACAGAAACAGAACAGCTGGACGATCTAAATCAGGTTTTAGTGCATGAACATTACATTTTATGCGATGTTTTATCAGACCCTTAAAAAAAAAAAAGAAAAAAAAAAGAGTACCTGGCCAGCATAAACACAACCTTACATTGATTTCTGCCTTGCCCCAGATCCGCGAGTTAATTACATATCTGCAGCAGCAGAAAGACAAATTACGCAAGTGAATTTAGTTCTTGGGTTGGAAGCCACCCAGCTTCCCCTATGGAGATTAGGATTTTACATAATCTCTGATGTATACTTCAGTGATGCTTTTGATCTGTTTGATAGGGTCCTGTAGCATGTTGATGTCCTCAGCAAACCTTGCTAATACCAACAAACCCACTTTAACCCTGGGATTTGTACTGAAAGGTGAAGTTTTAATGTTAAAAAATATAGCAAAGTACACACATGCACATTATATATCAGGTATAAATTGGAAACAAAGTAGAGAGAATTTATCTTTTCCTCCCTGATTTGTATCTCAGCATTCAATTTAACTTCCTGGCACTAAACAGAAAATGTACCTGAACTGATTCATCTGTTTTGCAGCTAAAGCTTTCAGGTTGGCATAACAAATACACACATAAACATATTTTTTTCCCCACACACACTTCATCCTTTTGAAGTTATTATTAGGAACAACAGTCAACAAATACTGAAGGGAATTTATAGGAGCAAAACCTCCCACTTTGGATTGACAAAAGGCGCACTTCTGAAACTTTCTTTCAGAGCAGCGTTAGTCAGCATTCTGTATGCACGACGCTATCAAAACAGCAAAGATAAAAAAGCTCTAGTCATACATTTTAGCCATTTCCAGAAGTTGTCTGGTACAAGCTGTAAAACCCAAAACCATAAAGGGCCATTAGTATCTAAACTGGCATACTTACTACTCCTGCTACGGTAGCTCAGCCTCCTTTAATTTTGGTCTACATGTGGAATTACAAAGCAATTTGATGTTGATCTGTATTACACTCACTATTAGAAGCACAATCTGTGCGGAGACTCTCCCTGTTAATGAAAGATTTACTCTGTTTTAGGAGTCCGGCAAGCCAACGCAGCAGTGGTTGAGAATTAGTCGAGAACAAGTACATGGAAGTCAAGTTTAGCGTTCCAACAACAAATTCATCCAAACAAAAAGATACGAAGGAGCTTAGGTAAAGTGATTTATCATTTTACACCAATTCGCACTATATTGGACAAGAGCCACCAAGCCACGTTAGGAAAACACTGTAGCTGAAGATACAGAACCGCATACGTAAGGAGGCACAGACACACTCACAAGAAAACACAATGGGCATTTGTACGTGCGGGTTAACGAAGGGCTGACCCAAGCGGCCACTGTGCAGCAGTCCAGGGTCCCTGACTTACATGGTGATGGCAGAACACAGATCCTCTTGTTCCAAAAAAACAAAGGCTCCTACTCCTTGAACTGCAGGAAATTCTCCGTCAGCAGTATACGGCCACTGACACATACCTACAGGCTCCAGCCAGTATAAGGCAATATTTTGCATTCTTTATAAACAATGGTATCACATTGATATCGTTGTTTATGTAATTGCATGCAAGTATATTATGAAAACTAATTCAGTTAAATCTATTCTTTTTTTCTTTAACAATAAAAGGTCAGACTTCAAGCCAGATCAGACTTCAAGCAGCAACTGCAGTTTTTGTTGGTTTAGATAAAGGCCCTGAAGAATTACCATTTAATGGAAATGTAGAGGTGAAAGCTTTGGAGGTCTTAACCCCTTGTGGAGGGTCACAGTTGAATGAACTGTGGTTATCAAAAAAAAAAAAACTTTATACTTGAGTCTTGTAAAAGAACATTTCTTTCAGATAGAGTTCTTACTATTTTCAGGACACACCATCGTACGGATCTGCACACCACTGACCTCATTACCCTTTACTGAGTTTTAACCAGGGAAGTAAGTCACTTCTAGATTCTTTGCATTGGACAGTCTCTTTGAAGGAAGAAATGGGCCTCAAATAGCCACCTTTTCAACCATGTCCTCCCATGCTTTCAACTTGAAAGTGAAATAATGACTTTTAGGTTAGTCAATCTCAAAAAAAAAGTTTTGGAGCTATGAACATTTCATCCTTTTCTTCTGAAAATTTAATTTAGCATAAGGAAGAAAAACAGCATTTAATGTTAGCAACAAGCTGCTTCATGATGCTACGCGGAAATGCAAGAATCAAGATGACGGTCAGAAAATAGCTCCAGAACATCCAATAACTTGGGGAATAAGCAAGCAAAGGCTGGAGTGAACGAACCAGATGCCAAAAGAAAAATCCAACTCCTGTTCTTCACAGCAGGCGTGCCAGATTGGGCTGAACCAGACTCTGCAGGTATCACAAGTCCTTCATGCTCACAGTATCATACTCGGTTCTGCACCATCATCAGCACAGCAAGGTTTACCCATGAAGAACCTGAAGCTTTATGTAAATGGCATTTAGGAAAACCTCTCTTTTTTTAACCTCACTCCAAATGCTCGTTAGCAGTAGATTGCAGTCTGTAAACTGAACTATCAGCTCACAATTTTCACACATTCACTTCAGATTAAACATTCCTGATATTTTAGTTGCAGGAACAGGAGTGCCTTTTAGGATCATTTCCTCTTGACAGCTTAATTTAGGGTCTGTCCAAATAGCAAGTCATTGCTATCCTCCCACTCTAATGGAAACTATTACCCGACTACTTTATAGAGAGGCTCTTTAACATTTAGCACCCCCTCCTCTGCATGATCCAAACCCAGTAGCCATCTACAGCCAGCACCAGACCTCGCAGAAGCACGTATGGCCACAACCATCAGCTCATAGTCTGAGCAAACGCAAGCAGTACTCAGATGGGCCAGGAATTCAGTCCTTGTTCCACTGAGAGGTGCACCTTCTCGCCAGACCTAAACAACTGCCCTTCAATTAACGGAGCAAACGCCTCTGGAGCCCTGGTGGCAGCAGGAGCTGCCGTGTGAGCGGGGTTAGGGAAGCAGTTAGGAATTCTTAAACCCAAACCAAAGCTAATCCCACCCAGATCATCCTCCAGCGTATCAGTATTCCACCGCCATCAACTAATGGATTCACATAATGCTTTTTTTTGGTCCACATTAATGTGGTGGCACTTCATGAAATAGTTGCCATAAAATACCATGGACAAAGTCTCTATTTCAGACCTACATAGGAACTAGGACACTAAAGCAATCTAGTTTCTGGGGAAAAATAATAATGAGGTTATGCAGACTTATCAGCAGGACATTTCCTGTCTATATTTCACTCAAGAGGGAATGCAGAAACTATGTCTAAAAAATAAACCAGCATAACTAATAAAAGCCACTTTGCATTTTTGTAGCAGATACAGAACTGGTATCGCAGGCACGTAAAGGTGCCTGGCAAGTAACTGGCTGCCCTAACCCAAAGCACACACTGGCTCTGGGAAGCCTTCAACAGCCCGGGTGGGGTCGAAGGACAGCCGGACCACCGTAAGAATTGGACTAGAAGCAGTTTCTCTGCTTTCCAGCTCTGGTGTTAGAGCAGGCAAACTACACTAATTCCCAGGCTCCCAGTTTGAACTAGGGCTTACAGAGTTAAGACAAAAGGAAAATAAGTATACTGCACAGATTCTGCCCAAGGGTAGAAGGCAAATCCTGAAGCACGTTCATGTATTGACCAGCTTAGCCAGACAGATGCTTCCTAGACCATTTTCATTCATATGGAACGAAGTTAGCTACGCAGAGGAAGCATTCGAGAACCTTCATCAAGATGTACCTTAATACACTCTGTGTTACGTACGCAAATCAGGTATTAACAGAGTACAAGAAATAGGAATTCTGACATTAAGATATGAAAGGGCAAAACAGAGGAATGACTGAGGTTTCAGAAGGCGGCAGTTTAAAAATGTATTCTTCAGCTGTGAGACAGCTGCCAAGGTCCTCTTGTTTGTTAAATAGCAGATGGAATAACAGCAGCGATGGTGTAACACCAACCTGCATGACTAGATTTCTATCTCTGGAAGAGCCTCAGAGGACAGTCAAGTCCTCCCTGAAGAACACCAAGTTGAGTAAGTATTTTGCTCAGAGGAAAGGTGTGGAAAGGAGCAAACCATAGTGTTATCAGTCCCACAGTGACAGCTGTACTATGGACAAGGAAGAGAGTTTTCCTGTAGCTAGACATTCCTCAGTCCATTCCAGGAAATCTTCAAATTTTTCCACAGCAAATAAATCTTATTCCGTTAATTCACAATTAAAAAAAAATAAAATTGTTTAGACCTCTTCATGTTCCAGCAACAGCTGATCTGTTACACCCAGTATTTGCCCCATCTGGTTTTTTTTATGCTCAGAATCTTTGTGCACCCAGTAACCTGTTCATTTTGATAAAGAGAATCCATCTTCTTGTTAGCTAATCTGAAAAATAGAGAAGAGTCATTTTCACCTGTTACCCATACCACAGACCCGCTGTCCTGGCACCTCATTCCAAAGAGCTCCTACTATTCACCCAATTTAATTAGTCTCTCCCTTTCAAAATGAGCTCTTTTCTGGGTCTTCCCACCATCTTATTTGATGTTTGACTACATTCAAAAGGTTGAAGTTCACCAACGTATGCGGAACTTGAGCTCTGTGAACCGATTTAGAGAGTCACAGGCTGACAACATCCTAGAGATCCCGAAGAAATCAGACTGGCACTTCCTTGCAGAAGTTTGACTTTAAGTGACCTAGTGGAATAACTTTCAAGAAACATCATCTTATCCAGCCACCCCCTGAAAGCAGAAGCAATAGAAACAACACGTACTTGCATA